TACTACTTGATATTCACTGGTATATATAAATGAAGTAATGCCACAGAAACAAAAAGTTCCAAGTTCAGGATTAAGGTTATCTCTAAGGAAACAAAGCAGGGATTAGGGCCAGAAATGTCATTTTCTACATATAGAAATCATATCCTAATCTTTAAGAGAAAATAGAAATAAAAAAGGAAGTTGGCTCTAAGAAGCTGATCCTCTTTTAAACGTTTCCTCCTAAAAATGATGTCAAAGGAAAGAAACCCCACTCTGTTCAGACGGCCCTTCTTAAATTCAAGAGCAAGCAGCACAGAAGAGAGGTAAATGCTTCCAACATTTGTTTCTATGGCTGCCTCTTCCCTGTTATCCAGGTGGTACAGTGAAGGATCTTAGGAACCACCGAGTGCTAAGATACGTCCTCTAAAGCAAAATACAGTGTACGTGTGTGCACATCAGTCCAGAGTCACAAATCGGTGACATTCCCAAAGGGTTCATGACTCCCCAGAGGCTTACAAGCTGTAAGCGCCTCTAACTTACCATGGTACCAACCAGCAGGTGTCCAAATGCTCAGAACCTCTAAGCTAGTCTGTGTTGTATTCCACACAGCCCCCAAGTCCCTGACCCAAGGCTTCCCACACAGTGCTCAGGGGCAATACGCGGGCCTCACATGGACAGGAGCCCACATCCTGGTCACAGCCAGACTGGGTGATCAGGGTGAGGTGCTTTCTGGACCTGTGACACAAAGAGAGGCTGTCGTGCTCACAGGGGCTGGCACAGCACCAGCACATAGCCAGCACTAAGGGGCACACTGCCTTTAGGGCCGAGACTCTGCGTTCTACACACTCCACTCCTGACTCTAAGTGTCACCAAGTGCCATGTCATTGCTATGGGAGATGACGCTCCCAGAACCCTCTCTGCTCACTGGCAGAGGGAAGTGTCTCAGTCCTATACTTGTCAGGGCACACAATGAGCTCTTTGTTAAATAGGTGGACAAAGGGTTGAAGGAAAGAAGGAAGGTCACCGCTCATGTTGCACAACTGCGTATGAGAGCTGAGAGGTTCTAAAAATGAGCTGTGAGACTTCTACATCACTTATCAACAGTATCATTGCTTCCATGGAACTACTAGTAGCTTACTAAGATGAAAGTAACAATTCTTATTAAAGAAAGAATTATTCTTTTGAGAGAAGAGAAAGGAAGTATGGACGATAGAACCCAGGACCTTCCCATTAAGCTTCATCCCCAACTTTTTATTTTTAACTTTGAAAACAGGGTCTCACTAAGTCATTAAATTATCACAGCTAGACTCAAATCTTCAGTCCTCCCATCTCAGCCTCCCAGGATGCTGAGCTTATTGACGTGCACCAAAGCAATTATCCCCAACTCAACAGCAACAGATGAGGAGGAGAGAAAGGAGTGCAGGCAGCTAAGAGCTGGAGAGGCCCGGGCACAAGGGCATCAAAACTGCCACAGACAGTGCAGGCGGTGGGTGCACCTGCAGCCAGCTGTCCTAGCCTGCTGCTTCCTGCTAGGCAAGCGGAGAAAAACAGGAGGCAGAGAAAAGGTAGCTGTAAGAAGAAAGCAGGAATCTAGAAACATTTGCAGGCTGCTGTCTGGGCAGCAAAGGCCAGCAGCACAGCAAACAGCTTCAGCCTCTGTCCATCTGCACAAGAGCGAGGGGGAGTTGCTGGTTCTGCGCTGCCTCAGCAGAGCTTGGATCAGGGTGCTTACTGAGCTCCTCCCACCCACCTTCCCTGGCAGCTTAGGGGCACCTGCAGAGCACCCACTATGTCATTTATCTCCAAACATCACACTGCAGGCAGGAAGGTGACCAGAACTTAATGACTCACCCTACCCCACACAACAGCACTGCTCTCACCTCTATGTCTGCAAGCATAAGGAGACAAGGAATGGGACAAACAAGGCAGGGTTGTTTGTTTTAAATCCTTCATTTGATAAGGCAGGAAACTAAATTAATCGTGTTTTCCAAAGTTCAAAACTAAGGGGCTTATAATTACTGAAAAATGAAGTCTGCACATAAACCTGTAGATAATTGTAGATTTGACAGGGGAAGAAAATTACAGTATGTGCTTGAATTTTTAATATGCCTTAGTTGTTCTTACTGTTTATAAGGCACAGAATAAAATGAATGTGACTTAAATGTTGTAAATTAAAATAGGCTACTAACAAGCTTGTCCTTGAAAATACTGCGTACATAAGTGCTACTGTTCAGGTTAGCCTGGAAATTCCAAGAGCCTCTTCCTAAAACTCTGGCAACCCCCATCCTTACAGCAAGTACAGACTCCAAGTCCAAGGTGCTCTCTGAGTCATCAACTCACCACATTCAGAAATTTAAAGCAAGCTGCCAAAAACCATTGCCATTCGCAACCACTCTGTGAATAAAGATTCTCTTAGCAGTGCGGACCAACACAAATGGCAGCAGAAACTTGTAGTCAACATGGGCGTTTTCTGAATGCCTACCCTGGGGGGGTCTCCAAAATTCCACTGCTCTTACTGGATTTTATAAAAGTGTGAAAAGTCCAGGCAGATAGCATGCGTTTATCTTAATAGAATAAACATTGTTTATTACAGTCTAAGGTAACAATGCATTTAGCAAAATATAATCCATTTTGGGGAAACTATCAAGGTTTCAGTAATTCTCTTCTAGGTAACAGTTGCTATCAAAACTTTAAAGTGACTTACGACTTGTCCTGCTTGTGGGAGAGGGAAAAGAAGTCGTAAACCAAGCACACTCCGAATACTGTGACGCCGGTCTCCTTCACCAGCATCGCGCAGGTCCCCAGAAGCAAGCTGAGCAGCAGGAAGAAGGGCGAAGCTGTAGCAGGGAGATGGGCCCCAGCGCCACGGCAGTCCAAGCTCCTGGAAAGGAGGGGGCAGTCTTTCAGTCTTAACAGTGTGGGCCACATAAGACACTTAAAGATAAGATCTAGCAGCCGTTTCACTGCACCCTACGCAAGTAGGTTAGCAAGGAGTTCTTCAAGATCGTTCATCATGGAATCACAGAAAATTGCTAAGACAGGAAAATGTAAATGCCTAACAATACTAATGTGGGTACTTAAAGTATGGTATTTGCAAATTATGATAAAAGAGGGGGCATAACAAATGAAAGCTAAATAGCCATTTAAAATTCTACTGTAGAGGTATATTTAGGAAGACAGAAAGATGTTCAAGAGAACACTTTATAAGAAACAATGCCCATTACTAACAACCATCATGGCTCTGGGCAGTCACCAGGTCTAAATCTGCTGTGCAGGTACCAACGGGGCCAAAAAAATGAGTTGCTCTGCTCCCTGGATTTCGTGTCCCCCGCATGTGAAACCAGAGTGCTGTGCCTCAGGGAGCACTGAATAAATGTTTTCATTTGTTCACACCAAGTCTCACTGTCATCATATTAAAGTTTCTATACAAAACAAAAAGTCTGCAGACTTATATACCAAATTACAACACATCTTTCTCAGGTATTTTCACTTTTTTCTTCTCTTTTGGCCAATACATATCTTAAAATTTATTTCCATGAGCATCTGTTAGAGGTTAATAGCTTAAACAGTTTAACTTGCAACAGGACTTTTCAAAACCTCTACAGTGTTTTAAACCATTCCACTGGATGAAACAGAATCAGCCCCCACAATGTCCCTGTCCCTTCACAGGCGACTGCCTGCTAGCTGCTACTCCTCACATAGAGGCCAGGACTGAGCACGTGGCATCCTCCTACTGTTGGTGTTAGAGCAAGTGCATGGATTACCCACAACTTTTACAGCACACATGCTTTTGTTCTGTGGAGCTGGTCTACACTGTAAGCATGTAAATGGGAGCAGGATGCATGCCACCAGCCTGTGGTAACAGGACTCAGTACCATGCAGCTGTGGATATGCTGCCATGCTGGTCAGGTGCCACATGTCACCACACAGAGGAAGCCCCGGAAAAAAAGTGTAAGTTAAAGTAATGAATTCTGCTCCAACACCAGGGTAAAGAAGAAGCAAATGTTAAATTTGGGCTTAAGTTCTAAGATTTCACAATCCTGTTCATGTCACTACAGATTTAATGTGAGGTCACAGAGCCAGGATCCAGACTAATCCTATCCAAAAAATGCTTCATCCTTTGTAACACATCTTCAAGGGCCTTCATTTATTCCCCTGTCGATCCAGGACTTACACTGGCCTCTAGCGGGTCTCGTGTCTCAGCGCTGCTGGTGTTTTCCTGCATCCTAGGATTCTAGGATGCTTATTTAGCAGCACTCTTGGCCTTGGCCACCGATGCCAGTAGCACCCTCTCAGCTGTGCCAACCAAAACATCTGCAGATGTCAGCAGGGGAAGAAGGGGACAGCAGGGCCAGGGAAGGGAAGGAGATGCTCCTGATGAGGAACCAACAGTGTAGAACACTGCTTCTTAAACGGAGTCCTCGGCACATAACTTGAACCTCAGTGAGCAGATCAAGGGTCACAGACCCTTGCACAGGCACTGCTCTGAGTAGCAGAGATGCGGCAGACTGCCTCCTTTTGGGACCTTGCTCTGCACCCTGATCCCTCTGCCCCTCTCACCTCTGTCCTCAACTCTTCCCCTTTTCCTACGTGGCTACCACATAGCACAGGTGAGGATCTGATGCTTGGAAGTAAAGTTACAGTGCAATGGAAAATTATTTTATTATTTTTCATTTTCCCAGGACAAAAAGCACCTATATTTTGCTGAAAGGATTGCAGGCTAGAAAACCACAGTTGAGAAACATGATTTTCTGTTCAGCTTTGTTGCTCTGATCTGGGCTGGTTAGGATAATAGAGACAAAAGTCAGAACCAAAAAGAAAAGGAGGAGTTAAACAGATCACAAACAAATGGACTAGAGTGCTACAGCTAGTACATTTTGGCTCAGAGCTACAATTCCAAATTCCCTTCTCAACCACAAACTACAAATAAAAAGAATCAGGAAGCAAGAGTGTGGGTTCCTAGCACCAGGCAAAAAGTCTTTTCTAAATGATATGACACAGTTCCAAGTGGGAACGAAAGACAAGAGTCCAGCACAGAGCAAGGAGAAGGCTCCTTCCCAGGAGCTCATCAAGCTCTCACAGGCTGCGTACACCCTCCTGTCCCCAGTGCAGACACTCAGCCATACATACCTCGTGTAGGAGAGAAAGGCCAGCAGGAACAGGAGACACGCCAGCACGTCAGCTCTGCCGACAATTCCGGCCACCTAGGAGTTAACACGGCGACAAATTTAAAGCTAGGAAAGTGAGTCTCAGAATATCTATCTTACAGAAATGTTTTTGATTTTAGATGAATGAAAGGTGTGCTAAAATAGAAAATACATTGTTCTTCAAGTTTTTTTTTTTTTTTATTATAAACCATTACAGACTAATACATACAGAGTCCGCCAAGGAAAAGTACGTGCACTTCAGCAGTGTGCTGCGCTCACCAGTGCCTGGAGGCAACCAACAGCTTCTCTG